TCCTGACAATTCCAAATTTAATCCTAGACTATAGTTATTAATTGTTACAATTTATTCTATGTTACAACTCTTACGTTAATATTCTTACTATTATTATTAACACTTAATTACTTTTAGATATTATTATTACCACTTATATTATTATTATTATTATTATTATTATTATTATTATTATTATTATTATTATTATTAGTTTCTTTTCAAGTACTATTAGTATATAATGGTCGTGAGGCACAATAATAATATAACCATAATTAAATATTCTTGTATTGTATTCCGGAGTTAATGCCATTTTTGGTCCTAGACTTATTGAGGCATTGACACTTTTCATCCTCCATAATAAAAATTGCCACTTAGTAGACACTGTTATTGGTCGTTGGACAGTTTTGATCCTCCGTCAATGAAGCCGTTTGTTGACCGTGAATTAGAAGGGCTTTTCTGTCTTTTTATGTCTTATTATTCTAATCTTGTTTAGACCAGCGCTGCTGTGACTCCTGTGAGGCGAGATGGCGAGACTTGGCGGCTAAGTAGTAACCGTCAGTAGTGAGTAGCAGCGAGGTTCTTCTCCGGCGAGTTGTGGGTACGGCGACGAGCATACGAGGTAGTAACTCCTTCCGGCGACGGACCAGTAAGGCAGATCTGGCGGTGCAGCAACAGATCCGGCGAGGTTGGGGCCTTCACCGGTGGTTTTTGGTTCCGGCGAAGTAGAGAGGGCAGCAGGTCGGCGAACCCTCTTATGGTAAATAGCAGTTGTAGTTGTAGATGGCGTGATGTAGAATTTGCACCTGTAAGTCCTCCCTTCCATATTGACCACAAATATCATTCCCATCTCTCTCTCTCTCTAACCACAACTACTTGGTGCACAACCTCAAAAACTCTGTTATTCTAACTGAAATTCATTGAAGTTTCAAGCTGAAAATGTGGAATCCGCCGCTCCCCAAAAATCACATTGTCTGAGGTGTTGGAATGGCCGGTGTTGACTTCCTGGCTGCTGTAGCTTCATTCCCCAACCCGGATGATAAAATTCGGAGCACCAGCTTTGAGGTTCAAGGAGGTGGTAACATTGGCAATGCTTTGATAAAACCCGGATGATAAAATTCGTCTTGGTCTTAATCCAAGGATCATATCTAAGGTTGCTGATGACTCGCATGGCGAAAGAATACTTGATGAGCTTGAAAGGGATGGTGTTGATACATCTTTTATGGTGGTGTCCAAAGGAGGAAACTCACCATTCACATATGTCATTGTTGACAACCAAAAAAAAAAAAAAAAAACTCGCACGTGCATTTTCACTCCAGGATATCCACCCATGATATCTGAGGGTTTACATACCCAAATCAAAATTGTCTTCAGCGCTTGGAGTAAATATTGTCTACTTAGATGGAAGGCTGCATGAGACTGCTTTGATTGTTGTGCAAGAGGCAAAGAGTAGGGGCATACCTATTATAGTTGATGCAGAAAGGTTAAGGGAGGGGTTGGGTGATATTCCTAACTTTGCTAGTTATGTTGTATGCTCGACAAAATTTCCACAGGCATGGACTAACGCCCTTTCTATTCCAACTGCACTTGTTTCCATTATCTTGAGATTGATGTCAAATGTAAAATTCGTGATTGTTAGTTGGGTGAAGATGGTTTCTTAATGTTAGAAAGGACTGAAGCGGATAACCTCAGTTTGAAGAAATGGATGTAGCAGTGACCAATGGATGGAGAAATACAAGGATTAGAACATAAAAAAACAGAAAAACCCTTCTAATTCACGGTCAACTAACAGCGTCATTGACGGAGGATCAAAACTGTCCAACGATCAATAACAGTGGCTACTAAGTGGCAATTTTTATTATTGAGGATGAAAAGTGTCAATGCCCCAATAAGTCTAGGACCAAAAATGACATTAACTCTTGTATTCCGTGAGTCACAATAATAATATAACAATAATTAAATATTGTTCAATTCTATATTCTTCTAAGATTTCTATTACCATCATTAATTATTCTCAAATTTACCATAATTAAATAATTTGACCAATTATAAAGAAAGATTATTAAATAATGCACAGGACAATTGTTTAATTAAAAATTTTAAAAATTCATTAATAAAACATAAGGTTCTCATAGTTTTTTCTTAGAAACTCTTTACTAAAGTATTTTTTTTAGAAATTGGTGGGCCAAACCGCCTACGGCAGTTTGCGGTGGATACATCTCGAAAAAATACGCGATTTCAAAAAAACATTTGTCCAAAACGGACAACGAAGTCAAAAGTTATGCCGTGCCGAACTTTTGACACTTTACAACTTAAAATTAAAAAAAAAAAAAATGAAAGCCCGGTTCAGCCGGCGAGGTGGCATATGAGTAGGCCGATTCCGGCCTTCCTCGCAGCGGCCAGCGACACGATTTTTGCAACACTGACATATAAAATAGATACAGATTAGAATAGAATTAGTATTACACAATTTTATAATATTACAATAAAATTTTAACCCAGAACTATTGTAGAAATCAATATATTTTATTAGGAAGAGAGATTTTTTAGGAATTGGGCGGGAAGTTAAAATTTCAGAATTTTGTTTTTATATATAGTATAGATTGGGCGGGAAGTTAAAATTTCATGATTTTGTTTTTATATATAGTATAGATTGTATTACACTATTTTATAATATTAGAATAGAATTTTAACGCAGAATTATTGTACGAATGGGAAAGTAGAAATCAATATATTTTATTAGGAAGAGAGATTTTTTAGGAATTGGGCGGGAAGTTAAAATTTCAGGATTTTATTTTTATATATAGTACAGATTGTATTACACTATTTTATAATATTAGAATAGAATTTTAACGCAGAATTATTGTACGAATGAGAAAATAGAAATCAATATATTTTATTAGGAAGAGAGATTTTTTAGGAATTGCGCGGAAAGTTAAAATGTCAGGATTTTATTTTTATATATAGTACAGATTGTATTGCACTATTTTATAATATTAGAATAGAATTTTAACGCAGAATTATTGTACGAATGAGAAAATAGAAATCAATATATTTTATTAGGAAGAGAGATTTTTTAGGAATTGCGCGGAAAGTTAAAATTTCAGGATTTTATTTTTTATATATAGTCTAGATTGTATTACACTATTTTATAATATTAGAAAAGAATTTTAAAGCAGAATTATTGTACAAATGGAAAAGGAGAAATCAATATATTTTATTAGGAAAGAGAGATTTTTTAGGAATAGGGCGGGAAGTTAAAATTTTAGGATTTTGTTTTTATATATAGTATAGATTGTATTACACTATTTTATAATATTAGAATAGAATTTTAACGCAGAATTATTGTACGAATGGGAAAGTAGAAATCAATATATTTTATTAGAAAGAGAGATTTTTTAGGAATTGGGCGGGAAGTTAAAATTTCAGGATTTTGTTATTATATATAGTATATAGATAGATTGTATTACACTATTTTATAATATTAGAATAGAATTTTAACGCAGAATTATTGTACGAATGAGAAAATAGAAATCAATATATTTTATTAGGAAGAGAAATTTATTAGGAATTGCGCGGAAAGTTAAAATGTCAGGATTTTGTTTTTTATATATAGTCTAGATTGTATTACACTATTTTATAATATTAGAATAGAATTTTAAAGCAGAATTATTGTACAAATGAGAAAGTAGAAATCAATATATTTTATTAGGAAGAGAGATTTTTTAGGAATAGGGCGGGAAGTTAAAATTTCAGGATTTTGTTTTTATATATAGTATAGATTGTATTACACTATTTTATAATATTAGAATAGAATTTTAACGCAGAATTATTGTACGAATGGGAAAGTAGAAATCAATATATTTTATTAGGAAGAGAGATTTTTTAGGAATTGCGCGGAAATTTAAAATTTCAGGATTTTGAATTTTATATATAGTCTAGATTGTATTACACTATTTTATAATATTAAAATAGAATTTTAACGCAGAATTATTGTACGAATGGGAAAGTAGAAATCAATATATTTTATTAGGAAGAGAGATTTTTAAAGAATTGGGCGGGAAGTTAAAATTTCAGGATTTTGTTTTTATATATAGTATAGATTTTTACCCAGAATTATTGTACGAATGGGAAAGTAGAAATCAATATATTTTATTGGGAAGAGAAATATTTTAGGAATTGGGCGGAAAGTTAAAATTTCAGGATTTTGTTTTTATATATAGTATAGATTATTATTATTATTATTATTATTATTATTATTATTATTATTATTATTATTATTATTATTATTATTTCATAATATGTTTTTTGTTTTTTATTCTATTTTTTAATCATTTTACATTGCGAGTTTGCGTACACTATTATTATTGTTGTTGTTGTTGTTGTTGTAATTTATTTCATAATATGTTTTTTTTTTTTTCCGCACATCAACATTTTACCACTTTATTATTTAAAAAAAAAGTATTGATTTTAAAGATTGTGATTTTGGTAGGGCCCCATTGGATCGTTATGCTGTGCATCCGTATGCACCATGCATGGTGCATCCGGATGCAAAAACGACGTCGTTTTGATATCTAACTTAAAAAAAGAAAAAAAAGAAAAAAAAAAAAAAACAGAATTGCATAACTACACATCCATAATTTTATAACTATACATCCAGAATTACATAACTACACGTCCATAATTTCATAACTATAAATCCAGAATTGCATAACTACACATCCATAACTTCATAACTATACATCCAGAATTGCATAACTACACATCCATAACTTCATAACTATAATTCCAGAATTTCATAACTACACATCCATAACTTCATAACTACACATCCATAACTTCATAACTACACATCCAGAATTGCATAACTATACATCCAGAATTGCATAACTATACATCCATACGGATGCACAACATAATTTGCCGGCCCCATTTATTTACCAGAACGGGGCCACAAAAATTTAAAAACCGGCCCTGAACATTAAACAAGTTTTTTTTTGAAAAAACCAATGTGGTTGCATTTATATATGAATCGAAATAGAGTCTGGCGGGACCCCGTCCCAGTACATAGCTATAGAATAACCAAAGGCAGCCGATGCTAAAGCATGTGCCATAATATTCTGCGATCTAGGAATAAAATTAACTGAGCAAAAACTGAACATAGCTACAAAATTCTTGCAATCATCGAGGGCATAACCAAGATAGGACCGAGCCCGGATACTAGCTGAATCTAGGTAGGATCGTAAAGTCTGGCAATCCGTGAATATTTGAACTGACTGTTCTCCACGCTCTCTGAGCCACGATAAGGCCTCTTTCCATGCTAGCGCCTTGGCCATAAGGAGTGAGAGGCAAACTTGTGGTGGTACGCAATACGCCGATATATAACTGCCAAGGTGATCGAGCAAGACCACCCCGGCTGTGGCTGTCATTGATCCGGAGTTGAAACCTGCGTCGATGTAGCACCGTTTTGGTTGTGGCGGCGGTGGCTCGGGAGGAAGGGGATGCGGCAGTACAGTAGAGACCAGATCTTGGGTCGCTGCAGCGTTGGTCCCGAGGGGAGGCAGATTGCTCACGTCGGCCGACTGTTGGGCAGAGCCGGTAGTGCCATGCACACTTTGCCATGCCTTTACTGTTACTATAGTCGAAGTGAGAACTTTTCTTGGCAACGGTAAACATGCATCCCATATCGCACCGTTCCGGGCTCTCCAAATGTTGTATAGAATTCCAGCTGCAAATAACATTCCATTAGAGTCTAGAACATTCAAGATTGCCCTAAACCATTCATGAAAAATATTTGTCATAATGTGGGGGTTTGGAAGGCCAGATTGGCTCCATATGGACTTTGCATAATCACATAGGACTAATGAGTGCATAACATCTTCATTGATTAATCCACACATGGCACACATCAGATCAACATCCACCCTCTTTATAAGCAAGTTGTTGGTAGTAAGAAAGATATTACTTATAGCTCTCCATAGAAACATCCTCCACTTTGGTGGGATTTTTAGTTTCCATAGTGTGTTCCATTTATCAAAACTGGCATTGCTCTCATAAATGCCCACAATGTGTCTGTATCCATTCTTGACCGAGTAGCATCCATTGGGGTTATCATACTAGTACCATGTATCTTCATATTCCGGAGAGATAGGAATTCTTAAAATTCTTGGCACATCGTGTGGGTCAAAAATATCTGATAAAATATGCGGGTCCCATGTTCCAGTAGTCTGATCTATTAACCCCGATACTTTTGCATCCGATAATTGTGGTGGCATCTCCGTTTGGACCATAGGGTCCATTTCATCTTGTAACCAGGGGTCCTTCCATATTAGAGTTGAGTTACCATTTCCAATACGCCGTCTCACCCCACCAACTATAAAATCCTTAGCCGCCATGATACTCCTCCAACAATAACTAGGATTATTCCCAAGACATGCTTCAGAAAAGGGACGTTTACAGAAGTACCTAACCTTATAAATACGGGACACCAATGAGTCAGGATTGGTAAGTAAACGCCATGCTTGTTTACCTAACATTGCCAAATTAAATGCTCTTAAATCCTTAAAGCCCAGACATCATATTTCTTGGGGATACATAACTTATCCCAAGCATTCCAGTGAATACCACGGTCAGTCCCAGATCCCCACCAGTATCGGTTCATTGTTCGTTCAATAGCTGAACAGACAGATAAGGGTAGCAAAAATACACTCATTGAAAAGGTAGGCATAGCTTGAGCTACACTTTTCAATAATATTTCCTTCCCAGCCTGCGTTAGGAGTTTCTTATTCCATGACCCTATTCTCTGTCTGATTTTATCCTCAATATAGGCAAAGACCGCTTTCTTATTTCTTCCCACAAAAGCTGGTAACCCCAGATACTTTCCAAAGTTCAGGGCCTGAACCACTCCCAAAGCCTGTGCTACCATATCCTTGTCATTCTCACCAGCATTCTTGCTGTAGCAAATACTAGATTTCTGATAGTTAACCATCTGCCCAGACAAGCTCTCATATATTGACAAACAGTTCTTTATTTCAGTGGCCTCATGAATATTTGCCTTGAAAAATAGTAGACTATCATCAGCAAAGAACAAATGAGAGATCGGGGTTGCACCTCGTGCTACCCTGCAACCATGAATCAAACCACTGGTCTGTGCCTGCTGTAATAATAGGGAAAGGCCTTCTGCGCAGATAATAAAAAGATATGGGGACAAAAGATCCCCTTGCCTAAGACCACGAGTGGGCACAATCGACTCAGTAGGGGAACCGTTTATCATAAACATGTAGGAAACTGTAGTCACACATAACATAATCAGTTCCACCCATCTGTCATCAAAACCCAGGGCTTTAAGCATTCCTTTTAAGAAAGGTCATTCCATACGATCATATGCCTTTGCCATATCCAATTTAAGAGCCCCCCACCCAACAACACCACAATGTTTCCTGTTCAAAAAATGTCCCACCTCAGCTGCTACCAAAATATTATCAGTAATAAGCCGATTGGGTATAAAAGCACTCAGTGTGTCAGAAATAATACTCTCCATCAGGGGCTTCATTCTTTGTGTAATCATTTTAGCCATTACTCTGTAGACAACATTACTTAGGACTATAGGTCTTAGATCAGTCACTAATTCTAGCACATTCTCCCTAGATTCATTCCATCCGGTCCTAGTATTTTATTAGGGAACATTGCAAACAGAGCAGTCTTAACGTCGTCAATCCCAAATGGTTGAACATTAGACAAGTTTAGTTTCTCTTCTTCCACGCAACCCAAGTACGGACATTAAATTAGCCAGGGAAGAATGTTGAACATTAGACAAGTTTAGTTTCTCTTCTTCCACGCAACCCAAGTACGGACATTAAATTAGCCAGGGAAGAATTATTAGCCATATATATATGTTGCTTGTCGTACTTTCAGTTTCTCTTTCAAGAAAGCAGCCCAATCTATAATGTACGTACATATAATATAATGTAATAAGTTTTTTAAAAAAATATAATATAAAACAAAAGCAAAAATTTAATTGGGGTAGGGGGACAAACTAAAATTTAATTTCTCACACACGCACTCTCTCTATATGCATTTGTATATGTATTTAGTTGTTGTGTTGAGCATATAATTTAATTAACTACCTCTGCAACTAGATCATTAAGCACTAAATTAAAGTTAGGAGTTCGAACATAGGGAAAGTAGGGTTTTAGCTTTGTCGATCTACCCCACCTTTCACCAATTCTTTGGAGCACAATTTGAAAAAAATGGAGAAATCTCTTTCGAACTGATTAGCATATGCCTTTATCACGTTTGATGGACATGTAGTTGCCGTGCAAATGTTGCCCATGTTCTCTTCTATTCCTTTAGGTACCTGTGTGCAAACAATAAAAAATGTTCAAGGCATGCAAGTTAAAAAAAAAAAAAAAAGAATTAAAAAAATTATTAGAAGATAAGACTATATTTCAGATCGAAGATTTAATGATTTAAGAAAAAAAGTATATTTTTCAATCGTGTATATTAGTATATATATAAGATAGAGAGTTAATTCCAGCAATAGTCCTCCGACTATATTGATTTTCCAAAATTAGTCCTCGACTTTTAATTTAGACACTTTACATCTATTGACTTTCAATTTCTTTTCAATTGAGGTCCTTTCGTTAGATTACGGTAAATTGGACTTTAAATGAAAGAATAAAGTAGTCATTTCATCTGCCTAATGTATAATTCTTCGTATTTCTCATTTGTATGTGCGACTCCGGACATCAGATTCACTTAATTGTTTAATCCCTAAATCCACTTGAAGAACAAAATTTCATTAGGGCTTGTATACGCGACTTCGGACATGTGATTCACTTAATTGTTTAATCCCTAAATCCACTTGAAGAACAAAATTTCATTAGGGATTAACCAGTTAAGTGAATCACATGTCCGAAGTCGCGTATACAAGGAAAAAATACGAAGAATTATACATTAGGCAGATGAAATAACTACTTTACCCTTTCATTTAAAGTCCATTTTACCGTAATCTGATGAAAGGACCTCAATTGGAAAGAAATTGAAAGTCAAAGGATGTAAAGTGTCCAAATTAAAAGTCAGGGACTAATTTTGGAAAATCAATATAGTCGGAGGACCATTGATGGAATTAACTCTAAGATAGACAATGGAGACTAAAAGAAAAATGGACAATGAAGGCTATCGGAGGGGAAAAGCTTGCCATAAAATGAACCGGGAACTCCATTGAAGAAGCATAGCCCATACCCCTCTCCTATCTCCCTCCTTAAATCCTCTTCATGTTTTGGCAACGATTGAAAAATAATGTTGAAGTCATAAGGAAATAAATCATACTGATTATAGCTAATAATCAGTTCAAAGAAAGGAAAATAGACAGTTCTAACTAAGAGTGCAATTTATAACTTTATCATTATCAATTCAATAGTCAGGCCAATTTAAGTGGGGTTACACTTGAAATGCACAGTAAAAAATTATTAAATTTTTTGTGTATACCCAATTACGGCGAATTATATCGTGCACCAAGGCGCATTGTGCGCCCTGGCCCAAAACGACTTCGTTTTGTACATTTTTCTCGTGTCTGTTGTTAACCCCTTAACAAAAAATTCATGTTTAGAATGCACAGAATTGTATAATAGAAAACACAGAATTTTTATAACTGAAAATCCTGATGTTTCGATTGTACAGAATTATATACTCCGTAATAGAAAACACAGAATTTTATACCTGAAAACACATAATTTTATAACTGAAAATTCATGTTTCGAATGTACAGAATTATATAATAGAAAACACATAATTTTATACCTGAATACAGAATTTTATACCTGAAAACAAATAATCTTTTTTAAAAGGATAAAAATTCGTTGTTTCGAATGTACAGAATTTTATACATGAAAACATAGAATTTTATAACAGAATATAAAACGACGTCGTTTTGGAAGACGCCGGGCGCACATTACTATGTGCGCCCTGGTGCACGGTATAACGATTGCCCAATTACCCATTATTAAACATCTTGGGCCGGGGTTGCCCCTTTTCTCCCATTAATTAATAGCTGTTGGTTGTACGTGGACATAATAAACTATACGTTTTGAATATATATATATATATATATATATATATATATATATATATATATATATATAATTAAGTTCCTATGCGGTTGTATGTCTCCCGTGTGGTTGTGCGGTTATCAATGTGCGTAAGTTTTGTACTTAAGGTGCTTGAGTCTTGTGTTTAAGGTGGGTGAATTTTGTACTTAGGGTGCGTGAATCTTGTGCTTAAGGTACGTGAGTTTTGTACTTAAGGTGAGTGGGTATGTATTTAATGTGAGTAGTGTTCAAACTTAAAGTGCATGAGTTTTGTGTTTAAAGTGTGTGAATCTTGTGCTTAAGATGTGTGAGTTTTGACTATTGGCATTTCTCCTTAGTGAGAAGGTGTCTGAAATGTCTCTCATGACTTAAGGTGCGTGGGTATGTATTTAATATGAGTAGTGTTCAAACTTAAGGTGCATGAGTTTTATGCTTAAGGTGCGTGAGTTTTGTGTGCTTAAGGTGCGTGAGATTTGTGTTCTTAATGTGAGTAGTTGTTGAAACTTATGGTGCATTAGTTTTGTGATTAAGGTGCATGAGTTTGTGCTTAAGGTGCGTGAGTTTTGTGCTTAATGTGCGTCAGATTAGTGCTTAATGTGCGTCAGATTAGTGTTCATCAGGTGTTTTGTTTGAGTGCTTAATGTGCATGTGTTATGTACTTAAAGTGCGTCAATTTAATGCTTATATGTTCAAATGCGGTTAGTGCGTCCAGGTGTGGTTGTGTGGTGAGAGGATAGCCATTGATATTGTCAAAATCAACGTCCAAGATTGACAAAATTCAAAAAAAAAAAAAAAAAAAAAAAAAAAAAAAAAAAACGCGGTGACAATTTGATAATTTTTGCATCTAGGTCAAATTTAAGGTGCGTGATTTTCCTTCTTAAGGTGCGTGGTTTGTGTGCTGTGAGTAGTTATGTTGAAACTTAAGGTGCGTCAACCTGAAGCTTAAGTTGCGTGGTTTTTCCTTCTTAAGGTGCGTTGTTTTCCTTATTAAGGTGCATGATTTATATGCTTAAGGTGTGTAAGTTGTTGAAATTTAAAGTGCGCAATTTTAAAACTTTAGGTGCGTGGTTTGTGGACTTAAGGTATGTCGGGCTAAAGCTTTAAGTGCGAATGATTTGTGTTCTTAATGTGCTTTGTATGTGTGTTTAAGGTACGTGCGATTTGTGTATTTAAGGTGCGTCATTTTAGTGCTTAAGGTGCGTGTGATTTATGTACTTAAGGTGCGTCATTTTAATATTTAAGGTACGTCAACCACACAACCGCATGAGAACCCGGACCTAAACCCTTCCCTATATATATATATATATATATATATATATATATATATATATATATATATATATATATATATATATATATATATATATATATATATATATATATATATATATATATATATATATATATATATATAGAGAGAGAGAGAGAGAGAGAGAGAGAGAGTTGCACTCGGGTGCGAACGGCTCGCCCAGGCGCGAAATAGGAATGGATTCTGTCCGTCCACGTGTCCAGATCTAATGGATGAGAAACACTGATTTTTTAAATAAACGCGGTGGTATTTTCGTAAATAATTGAACATCGAAGTGCAAATAAAATATATTACAAGTGCATGTAAAATGTATTATAGGTGCAAGTAAAAATTTACACTAAGCATCAATACTTAGTTGCACCTATAGTTCTAAGTAGTTGCACACATAGTTATAAGTAGTTGCACCCAGGTGTGTGAATGTTTGCGAGTGATTTTTAGTGGTATTACTACCTGCTGAACTCAGATCAATGAATATTAACAAGGCAAATTTACATGCACTTATAGGTGAAAGTATGTGCACCTATAGTTATAAGTAGTTGCACCAATAGTTATAAATAGTTGCACATAGAGTTATAAGCACACCCAAGTGCATGAATGTTTGCGGAAAGTGAATGCTAACAAGGCAAAATTACATGCACTTATAAGTGATTTTACTTGCACTTCGATGTTCAATTATTTACAAAAATGTCACCGCGTTTTTTTTAAGTTATTAGATCTGGACACGTGTCGAGCGCTGATTCGTTCGCATTTCCCTCTTGAACACTTATATATATATATATATATATATATATATATATATATATATATATATATATAGGCTTAGGTTAAGTATCGTGAAGGCGCGCCGCAGGTGAAACATGCGGTTGATATATACTCCGTACTTTTTATTCTTGGTAAATATTAATAGAAATGTAATAGTTATAAAAATGTATTATATTTTTGGTAAAAAGTTTTACTTTGAGACCGTCTCAAGCAAAGCTAATTGTACAAATAATGTTAATATTAATTATATATATTTTTTAGTTATGATTTATGAGAGAAATTTACAGTAATGATCTGAATGCATGCTAAATTAAACATGATCTTGCATTGCAGCCTAAGGCTATCTTCATCCAAACAAATGAACCCCTTTCAAGATAATGTAAAAGATAATGTGATTTTTTTAGATCTGACTTTTAT